TATTATTATTATTATTATTATTATTATTATTATTATTATTATTATTAGTTAATCTTTGGTGATATTCACAGCCTTTGGTGCTGGTTGGTAGCTCAAGAGCTTAAGTCCTAACCAAGGACCTAGGAACTGTTCAGGTAGCGTCGAAGGATAGATGCTGTTCCAAGTAGGGTGGGTTTTTTTGTAGAATCAGGGTATTCAAGTCTGATAAATTCAGAATTTCCAAATAGTGAGGCAGCCCTTTAGGTATTGCTCCAAGGACTCCAATTACAATTGGGATAACACACAATTTATTTTTCCAGAGTTGCTCAACTTCAATTTGTAAGTCCCGATACTTTGTGATTTTTTTCTTGCTGCGTGTCTACAATTCAGGTATACAATGCATCACCAGGTATTGCAATGTTAGTGAACCAAACCCTTTTCTCCTCAACTATTGTTATGTCAGGCGTGTTGTGGGCCAAATGCCTGTCCGTCTGAATTCTGAAGTCCCACAAGATCTTGGCTTTTTCATTTTCCAGAACCTTCTCAACCTGATGTTCCTATACTCACATCCAAACTTTTGGCATAGTTTGCAGTGAATGATTTTAGCAACTAGGTTATGGTGTTCTAAGTTGTCAGTTTGTGAAATTTTGCTGCATCCTATTATTATTATTATTATTATTATTATTAATAATAATAATAATAATAATAACAATAACAATAAATGTATGACACCCATCTCATCACCCAAGGTGACTGGGTGGCTTACAATACAATGAATTTCCATGTTCAGTAGAAATCGATGTTCTGCTTCCATCCATTCAAGGTATTCTCCGCAAGAAAAATGAGCTGAGGCAAAGAGTTATCCAATGGTTGTTATTTTTTGGCCCGAATAATATAGGTTTGGGTTGTTTTTTTTTTAATCTAGTGCCAAGTACAATTACCTTGGGGTTAAAATTTCATTGGATAGAGTTCCAGCTGCCAAATGGACAACTACAGGAAGGAGCTAAAAGGCTTTGGATATTCTGTAGATGTTTTGCCCGGCCTTAGGGCATGTTTTTACGAGCCAGTGCAAAGCCTCTTTAGATGGCACTAAGATAAGAAGGAAGATTTCAGGCAAGAAAAAAAAAAGTCCAGAATATTCTGCAGATTTAAGACTAACTAGACAACCTTTGACGCATTGGGTCAGTTTCCTTCTACATACAATATGGGCTCCTGTCATTTCCCTCCCCTCATAACTCTCAGGAGACACCCCCCCCCCTTCCCAGTGGTGGGATTCAAAAATTGTTTACTACCGGTTCTGTGGGCATGGCTTGGTGGGCGTGGCTTGGTGGGCATGACAGGAGAAGGTTACTGCAAAATCCCCATTCCCTCCCCACCCCACTAACCTGCTTTCCAGCTCCGTTCTCCTGTGCAGGGCAACCAAAGAAGACCCAGCCGATCAGCTGGGACTCAATGGGAGGCAGAGAAGAGATGAGGGTAGGTCCAGTTCAGAGGTGGGATTTGCCGGTTCTCCAAACTACTCAAAATTTCCACTACCGGTTCTCCAGAACTGATCAGAACATGCTGAATAACACCTCTGGACACACACACACACACACACCAGTAAAGTCACCTTCTCATCCTTGGCTGACCTGTAGAATTATCTGCAATTTTGGAAAACTGCATCCCCTTCCCGTTCTGGCATGTCTTCAAGGGCCTCCTTCCAAGGAGGGAGAAGGCTCACTCTTTTTGACTGCTGCCTCCCTTCCCCTCAGCCAACCCTACTTTACCAGCAGTCATTCAAATTGCTCCCTTGTCCTTCCTCTTTTCGCATAGAATCGTGAAAGGTTAGGTTCACACGTGAAGATTCAATTAAACTGCTATAATCTATGCACAGGAATCTTCTCAACTAATGGCCGGCACCTGATTAGGGGTAGACAAGGGCCAACGGCACTCAAGGCAAGTTGGACTTAGTTCACTTGTGGCTATATAGGAATTCTAGGCTAATCCCTCTTTTAACTCTGCCCCCAGGTCGTCCCAAAGGTGCTTTTTCAAGAGGCAATTGGATTTTCTGGTTTGTTTGTTTTTTGAAGACCTTTCACTCCTCATCCAAGAAGTTTCTTCTCTTGTTCTCTGAAGAGCTGAAGAAGCCTCTTCTTGGATGAGAAGCAAAATGTCTTCAAAGAAAAAACAAGAAAGTCCAGTTGCCTCTTGAAAAAGCACCTTTGGGAGAACCATGACCTGGATGACTGAAAATCTCCCTAGACATCTGGCGCCAGGTTTTGCCACTGCTTCTGAGAGCCCCTACGACCCTCCTCCTTCTATTTCCCTGTTGCAGTAAGACGATGGAACAGGAACAGACGGTTGCCCGAGCTCCGTTTTCGCTGGCAGAAGGCTGCAGAAGACTAGCTGCCAGAAATTGAGGCTGGGTGAGCCACGTGAGGCCTCCCTGATCTCTATTTTCACTGGCAGAGGGCTGCAGGAGGCCATCGCAGCCGAAAAAGGAGCCATGATGAGTGACATTGAGCTGGCCACACCTACCTGTGGCTACGCACCCCCCAGCTACACACTCCCCCAAGGTCAAATACAACTTTGATGCAGCTCTTAATGAAATTAAGTTTAACCCCTGTTCTATGTCATGCCCCTGTCAGAGTCTGAATCCGAGGAGGAAGGTGAACAGCTGACAGGGAGTAGGAGTGTGGATTCATTGGCTGTGGAGGAAACTGGGGAAGGCCAAAGTCTGGCTGGGCAGAGCAGGGAGATAGATAGAGCAAGGAAGAGGGAATTCAGAAGAAGACCCAGGCCCATCCCCTCTTCATCCTAGGGCACACAGGGAGGAACGGAGAAGAGAGCAACATGGGTTGCATGGCTTATGGGAGAGGAAAAGGCCCTGATTCCCTTCATTAGCCACACCTGGGAAGAAAGTTTAACAGACATGCAGGCTGTGTGCAGCAGCTGCTG